CTATCTACAGGCTGAGACCCACACAACAGATGACTTACGCCCCTTGGCAGCTTTTTGGCATATTGAAATTTTACAAGTTTGGGGATGCTCTAGACACCCAGGAGCATGGCAGAGACATCTGGGGGCTGGCACAAGGAACGTCCTGGAGGCCCCAAGGTCACCACCAAGGCTGTGAGTTCTCAGCAGCACAGATTCCTGCTGCCCACTTGGAATCCGAGTTGTGGGACCACCTGCTAGGCCTGTTTCCTCATCCACAAGCAGCTGTCACCTGCTTACGCAAGGAAATGAGGTCATGGCACCAAGTGCTCAGAGCCTTCCCTGACCCCATCGGAGTTCACCTAAAAGAGAGCCAGCTATCGCCAAAAGGATCCTCAGCACCCTCAGGCCTCAGGAAGGCTCAGCTGGGCTCATGCAGGGCATCAGGGTGAGGTTCAGACTAGCAGAGGTCTAAGGGCCATGCATCCCCAAAGCCAGCCCCAGAGCGTTCTGGTTACCCCCTGCACCTAACCACACTGCTACCTGGTGGCTTAAAACAACAGTCTTTTCATCCTTTCTCATTGCTTCTGTGGTTAGAGTCTGGGGAGACTGGCTAGGCAGTTACAGGTTGGGGTGTGCCAGAGCGGCTGTCTTCATGAGGTCTCTCCTTTTGGGCCAGCTAGGTCGTCCTCACAGCCTGGTGGCTCAGCGCCATGGAAAGAGGTTCAGGGAACCAGCAAGGGTTCCAGCAGACCCCACAGAGTTGTACCACCCCTTCTGAGGGCCTGAGGAGACAAGTGACAGCACTTCCAGCACATTCTATCGGCTACAGGGAGTCCCAAGTCCACCTCCTTTCAAGGGGAAGGGAATCGAGCTCCACCCCTTGATGCGGGGATTGCAAGGTATGAGAACACAAGATACTGTTGGGGCCATCCCTCGATGATTCAACCTTTACAGACAGTGGCTATGTACTGAGCATCTACGGAGTTCCAAGTGCCCAATATCTTACTGAGTTCTCGCACAGACACCGGAGAGTGAGCATTACGATGTCCATTTTACAGATGAGGAGGTTGATGTGAGCAAGGTGGAGTGCGTTCTCTGCTCACTCAGGCCCATGGGGAGGGAGGTTAATGACTTCTGGGGGTGGACTGGAGAAAGAAGAAAGGCAAGGACCCCTACATTTGACTTCTAAACTTGCGTTACAGTGAGCATATATTTGCAGCTTTTGGAGAGCAGACTCCTGGAGCCACGGTCAAAGCTGCAGCTTACCCTTTAGAATCAGGGCTCAGCGTCTCTGGGCATTTCTTTCCACCTAGGGCACATGCCTACTTCTGAAGGCCTTGGAAAGCGCCCCCAGGAGTGGCTCTGCTGGGTCCCTGCTGGGCCCTCAGTCCTCTCAAGGTAAGCCAGGCCACAGCCTCCTGGCGCCAAGAGCTTGGAGGGGCCACACATCTGCAAAGCAGCCCCTGCGTTTGGAAGTGAGGCTTGTGAACTGTACGTGTGAGTTGAGGGAGTGACCACTGCAGAAGGTCCAGGGTCGGGGGCGGGGCTGGGGCGGGCTGGGTTGTAGAGAAGCTGCAGGTAAACCAAGAATCACCCCAAAGATCAGCCCCATCATGCTTTGGGAATGGTGGGGGGGGGATGCACAGGTGACCTCCCAATCCCCATTCAGCCACAAATGTTCCCAGAATTGTGGGTCTTAGGACTCCAAGAGCTGTTTAAAAACTCTTTTCATTATTGCTAAATTATTTTATTACATAAGCCTGTTTTCTGGAAAATAGGAAAAGAACACCTGTATCCCCATCCCTGTTTAAGGCTTGGGTGTACAGCTTTTTAATGACAGACTTATCTCCCTCCTGCCCCTTTTGCTGTGACATGCCAGGGGACTTGTTTCCATGTTGAGTCCATTCGTTTTAACAGTTGCCACGTATCTCACCGTATTAGTGCATCATGACTTAATCTGATCTTCTTACTGATAGTCATTAATTGTTTCTGGTTTTTGCATGTATATACAGCAAGTCATAATGGGAGTTCTTGCATCTGCATGTTTACACAGCTGTCTGAATATGTCTGGGGATAAACTCCTAAAGATAGATGTTGGGTGGACAGGTAGGTTTACCTGGCCTCTAGAACTGTCTTCACAACCAGAAGAGCAGCTGCCCACCCCTCACCGATTCTGATGTTTATCATTCTTTTTCATCTCAGGTTGACTTTGTCAGGTCTGTATTCTTCAGTCCCTACTACTCTTGGATTCACAAATTCCCAAACCAGACCTCGCGCTGTTCAGATAAGGTTCCAAGAAATGTTTCCGTATTCGAATAGTACCTGGCACAGCCCTCAGAAAGATTACCTGTTATCATCACAGTTATCTGAACTTCACTACCAGGCCTCTCCATGCCCCATGTTTCCAGCTCCCCCTCCCCAACCATCCATATATTTTTTTGAGAGAACACCACAACATTTTATTAAAAAGGAATTCGTCAAATTGCACTCACAAAGAGCGCGTCGTTTTCTGCTCCTACCAAGAGTACACAAAAGGTCTTTTACGCTTCACTGAGCAGCCCACTCCCTCGCTGCCCGTCTCTCAAATCTGGGCACCCAAAGTGGCGCCCGGTGGGGCCCAGTTCCTTTCTCTTTACCTAAGGAGATGCAGGAAGGGCTCAGGTGGGCCAAAGAGGGCAGCGGTCCTCAGATCGGGGCGCTTCTGAGACTAGATCACCCCCGGCCGCTCACCTAGGCGCCCCCCACCTGCACGCACCGCGCTGGCTCACCTGGGCGCCCCTCACCTGCGCGCACCGCGCCAGCTCACCTGAGCGTCTGACTCCGCACCCACCTGGGTCCCGAACTCCAGGCCTGCAGCCCAACCCGCAGCCTAGAGAGGCCGCGAAGCTCCGCCCCCAGCATGACGTAATGCAATAGACCACCAATCGGAGGCGGGCCCTGAGCGGCCGGCGTCCCTGCGCCCCGCGATTGCTCGCACGCCTCGCCCCACCCCCTGAGCTGACACCGGACCACCAACTGCACCACTCGGCGCCTCTGGGGCGCGGGATTGACGGCCGAGGGCCCGCCCCGCGGACGACTGGCTTCCGGAGCAGCACCCCGCACCCACGCTAAGCCCCGCGGAGCGCGCGAGGGCCGGCGCTCCATCCACCCCGTGGCGGCGGGCAAGTTGCTTCCCCTGCGCTCCAGTTGCCTCTTTCTGCAAATGGGGCTTCCAAGGCGCGCAGCAAACACTTGCTGAGCATCTGATGTGTCAGGCCCTGGGTCCACAGCAACCCACAAAACGGACAACATCCCTGCTCCTAGGGGTCACCACTGTTAGGGGCGGGGGGGAGAGCAATAATCAATAAACAATAATCAAATAGGTGGAGTGTCAGATGGTGAAGGTGCTGTGCAGAGGATTAGAGCAGTTTGATTTGGGGGTGTCAGGGAAGGCTCTGCTAGGAGGCCTGGCAGGTCTGGTTCCCCCAGAAGTGAGGGAGATGGAGTTTCGGGTCAGGATCACACGTGTGCAGAGATGAGAGGGGAAAGAAGCAGCAGCGCTGGAAAGAAAGAGGAGTTGAACTGCCATGCAAGCCCGGCTGGGGCCAACAGCATGGGGCAGATAAGAAGCCACGACAGTTGTCCCGCTTGGCAGAAATGCCCAAGCCACATACATACTCCTGCCTCCGGAGATCAGCTACTGGACAGGGCCACTCTTGCAAGGCCATGACATCGGGCAGGGCAGCTGTACAACCCAAGCAGCCCCTGGAGGGGTGGGCAATTGAAGGTGTCTGCTGGCCCCACTCCCAACATTTGGGACAAAGGTCTTGTTTGCATAGGGATCCGATTGGCACAGCTCTGTGTCCCTCACAGAGATACGTTTTTTTCTGCAGTTTTTTATTTTGAAAAATGTCAAACACACAAACCAGTTGAATATATACTAAAGTGAGCACCCATATACCTAGATTCAGCAGCTGCTAACAGTTTCCCACATTTAATTTCCTTCCCTCCCTCTCTCTCTCTGTATCCATCCCCCACTTTTTTCCCTGAACCATTAATTAGCCGCAGGTGATGTCTTCTTCCTAAATACTTCAGCAACCATCTCTTACATTACCCAAATGAAATACATTACACTTTGGAAATTTTGTATCAACCCAATGCTATTATCTAATATATTGTTCATATTCAGTTTTCCCCCATGGTCCCATTCATGTCCTTTATAGCTGTTTATTAAAAGTCAGGATCCAATCGGGAAACCACTCCGTGCGTCAGGTGTCACGGCTCCTTAGCCTTAATCTAGAGCACTGCCCCAGCCTCCCTCCCCTCCCCTCCCCCTCCCTTTCCTTCTTCCAATTATCCGTCATGAACAAGCATTACTTTAGAGATGGGGAAAAAAGTATTTTAAATGTGAAAACGTGTATGACAAAAGCAGCATCGCAAGTCGGGAGAAAAAGACGGACTGTTCAATGACAGCGAGAGTTACTTATTCGTACGGGAAAAAATTGGATTCCTACCCTACCTAAAAGGACGAAAGAATGAGCTGTGTTAAGAAACAGCGAAAGCCTGCCGCAGTAGATCGTCACGAGCGCTCCGGGTAAGAGATGTGGCAAGAGCATAACTGCACCCCGCCAGGCTGCGGGACCCGTAGGCCCAGGGAAAGGAGGCGCGGCCGCACAGAGGCCCGCTCTGGCAAAGGGACACAGGGCCAGCGCGCGCGGGCGCCGCGCTGAGCGCGCCCTCCGGCACTGAAAGGGGAGCGCACGCAGCACCCAACTGCAGAAGAGGAATGAAAACGACGTATCCAACATTACGAGGGGAAACAGCCAAGTTGAAGAGGCGGACTGGGTGCAGTTTGCGGGGGGGTGTGGAATAAAAGAGTGGGGCTGCGCTCGCTCCGGGGACCGGCCCCCGCGGTGGGTCGCAGGGCTGCAGGAACTCCTCCGGGATTCGCGGCGGGGCGGAGCGGACGGGCCTCCTTCCTGCGCAGGAGCGGCCGCGACTCCGCGGGCGGGGGCGGGGCCTGTCGCCGCGGCTCTGCTGTCCAAGCCCGGCGGGACCCGGCGGGACGACCCGGAAGAGGCCAGGCCAGTGCGGCCAGGATGGGCCGGAAGGTGACCGTGGCCACCTGCGCGCTCAACCAATGGGCCCTGGACTTCGAGGGTAATTTGCAGAGGATTTTAAAGAGTGAGTCTCGGGGCGGCGGGGTGGGGGGAGTGGGAGGAGTGGGAGGACAGGGTAGGACAGGCTGGTGGGGCTGGGTGTGGGGAGGTCGGGGTGGGGGGGGAGCGGGGTTCCGAGGGGGACAGGGTGTGAGGGGGGACGGGGTGGGGCAAGTGGGGCCGGAGTGACAGGGTTATGGGGTGGGGGTTGGCGAAGGTCCAGGCCTGCTGGGCCTGCTTGCTTGTGAGGCACACACAACCTTGGTCTGTGGAAAGTCGCAGCCCTGGGCTTGGGGACAGATAAGATGATGCATAATGACGCCCCATAAGTGCCCAGGCCCCCCCTGAATTGGGGGGACAGATGAGATGATGCATAATGACCCCCCCGTAAGTGCCCAGGCCCCCCCTGAATTGGGGGGACAGATGAGATGATGCATAATGACCCCCCCGTAAGTGCCCAGGCCCCCCCCGAATTGGGGGGACAGATAAGATGATGCACAATGACCCCCCCGTAAGTGCCCAGGCCCCCCCGAATTGGGGGGACCGATGAGATGATGCATAATGACCCCCCCGTAAGTGCCCAGGCCCCCCCCGAATTGGGGGGACAGATAAGATGATGCATAATGACCCCCCTGTAAGTGCCCAGGCCCCCCCAAATTGGTGGGGATGGATAAGATGATGCATAATGACCCCCCCGTAAGTGCCCAGGCCCCCCCGAATTGGTGGGGACAGATAAGATGATGCATAATGACCCCCTGTAAGTGCCCAGGCCCCCCCCGAATTGGTGGGGACGGATAAGATGATGCATAATGATGCCCCCGTAAGTGCCCAGGCCCCCCCCGAATTGGGGGTGGTTTACCGTTCCTGGGGGTGCCCATGGTATACACTCGTGGTAGGAAAAGCGTGGCTGCAGAGGCAGAGATGGAGATGAGAGACTGAGGCTTACCTGTCCTCAGATACCTCTGGGGTCCAGTGTGGCTTAGTTAGGGCTGAGATGCCTGAGAGGGGCTGAGTTGTCCATGTTTAGAGGCATTTAAGGAAGAGGGTGGTCAACCACCAGCGAAGATGTTGTGAAGAAGTGTCCCACGAAAGGTGGTCTTGTTACCAGACAGAGAACTGGTTCCTAACTCAGTTTCGGCAGCTTGCCATCAACACAAGTGATGGGGAGTAAAGAAAAACTTGCTTTATTCAGGAACCAGGCAACCTGGGAAGATGTTGAACTAACGTGTCAAAGTCCATCTTTCCCATCCAGGGGGAGCCTGAGGGTTTCAAAGGGGATGGTGCAGGAAGAGGGAGGGGGGCTGCATGCAGGAGAAGCAGGTGCCCAGATGGCAGTTAGATGTGGACATGACCCTGAACGGACTCGCTAGCATCCCGCCCCCTCAGCTGTTCTCGAATGCTGTCAGGGCTCATCATCTGGGAGAGTCAGGTCCTTCACTCCGTGAGCCCAGTGGTCTGCAAATCTCAAGGAGAGTAGGTTAGTTCTGTTACAGACCCAGGGACTTAGGTCAGCAAGCAAGGAGCACATGAGCTTGAAGCAAGTCAGACTTTAAGACAGACGGGAGTGCTGTTACTGTGTCTGGTGCCTAGAGACTGTCCTGATGGGTAGACTTTGGGAGAAGCCAGCCCCTAGAGGGAAGCAGAGGAAGGGGTGAGCCTGCAATCTTAGAGACTAGGGTGTGGTTGTTGTGGGGGGGGCCCCCATATAGTGAGCCTTGGCACCAGCCCATCTGTGAGCATGAAAGGTCCAATTACTCAGACCTATAGCTAGAGTGGGGCTGTCCTGGGCAACCCTGCAGGTGTGCTCACCCCAGGCCGTCTTGTTCTGAGCTGCTCCCTGCAAGAGTGTTTGCAGTAAGAACAGGAGGATGCTAGAGAGGGCATCTTTTCAGCCATGTGCCCCAGACCTTCAACCTCTTTCTTTCAACCTCAATCTGCTTTCATCTTAACAGAGTGCAGAGCATATCTAATTGGAGCGAGGCGGTCGGTGGCCAGAGCTGAGTCTCTGTTCAGGTGGCCTCTCCTCCGCAGGTGCACGTTGGGCCCCGCTGCCCCAAACCAGAGGTTTCCAGTGCTGCTGTAGGCTGTGGTCCTTCGAGTCCTGCCCTCTCCCTGCACACGGTCTTCCATATCTGCCCGTTAATGAACTACCAGGGTGTGGCTGCCTCCTCCCAGGTGCTAAGGTCAGCCCTGCAGGCCCTGTGTCTTATTTCCCTCCGGTGTAAGCAGAGTCTGTGGGAGAGCCTGTCCTTGGCTGCATGGGGTCAGGGAGATCACTGAGTGCTTTTGTTTGTGGTTTGGCTTTTTATCACGCCTATTACAGCAGTGTTTTATCTGCCTCTGACCATGTTGTAGGTGCTGAAATTGTTCCCCTCTCTCTCTCTCTCTCTCTCTCTCTCAGGTATTGAAATTGCCAAACGCAAAGGAGCAAGATACAGGCTGGGACCAGAACTGGAAATATGGTGAGAGCAGAACACACAGACCCCACAGGGCAGGCAGGTGGAGGGATCCGCATCAGCTCCCCGCAGCGGAAACGCTGGGAAGGGGGGTGGGTATGGAGAGGTGCAGATGGCCGGGCCTGTTGAGGAGCATCGAAAGCCCGCGAGTGGGCCTGCTTGATGCCTCTGAGCAAGAGTGCCCAGCCAGGCTGGGCCGGCCTGGAGCCCCATGTCGGGTCACTAGAGGAGCAAGGACTCGGCAGTTGGACTGATGTCCGAGCCGCTTCTGCTGGCCACCACCCTCCCCAGGCCCTCCCTCTCATGTTTGGTCACAAGCACGTTTCACTTACTGGTCTCGGCATCTCTCCACAAGTGAGTGTGAGTGATCATTTCCACTCTGCCTGTTCGAAGTGATCGGGAAGCCAGTTCCTCCTTGTCCCTTATTCAGAAATAAGCAAGTGGTCGCTGTGTGCAAGTGTCTTATGAGCTACGGTTCTTTTGTGACAGATGTCAGCTGCCCTCTGGGTTCACACGTGTTTACAGGTCCTGGCCATTTGTGGGATCAGAAGTTCTTCCTCAGGCCACGTCCCTGCCTTGGATTCTGGGCTTTGTGTAAACAGAAAGTCTCACCTCCCAGGTGTCTTTGTATTCGCCCCTGAGGCCACTCCTGTCCTTTTCCTCGAGAGCTGGACTTCTGTCTTTGGAATCTCAACTTCAGCTCGGGCTGTGTCTCCCGTGGTAGCCAAGAGCATTTGCACCCTCACTTAACCTGCTCTTCAAGACACTCCTCTGCCCCTGGGGTCCTGGGGTGTGTAAATGATCTCTACCCCTGAGGTCCTGGCTCAGTGTTTGTATTTTGTCTGTTCTTCCCACTGCAGGGTTGCCCTCAGCAGCCCAGTCCCCCTGGCATAATCGCTGTCCAGACACCTCCAGGTTAGGTCCTTACTCCTTTCTTTGTCCTGTGCTCTCCCCACACCTGGCCCCCAAATCTGGACCTGTCATTTTATAAGGCGGAGGATGTTAGTTACAGGATCGACAAGCTGGGTGGCCTCATGGGTGGCTGGAACTGACTCTCTCACAGTTCCGGAGGCCAGAAGCTTCCTCCAAAAGCTCCAGGGGAGGATCCTTCCTGCCTCCTCCAGCTTCCGCTCCCACCCCTTGTCCTGTGGCCGCGTGTCGCCTATCTCTGTCTTCATACCGCTCCCCTCCATGTCTTCTCCTCCTGTTCGATTCAGCACCTGCCTAGGTCATTCAGGCTCATCTCATCTTTAGATCCTTAATAACCTCTGTAAAGACCCTTTCCCCAAGGGGTGCCTGGGTGGCTCAGTTGGTTAAGCGACTGCCTTCGGCTCAGGTCATGATCCTGGAGTCCCGGGATCGAGTCCCACATCGGGCTCCCTGCTCAGCAGGGAGTCTGCTTCTCCCTCTCCCGCTCCCCCCTCTTGTGCTCTTTCTCTCTCTCACTCTCTCAAATAAGTAAATAAAATCTTTAAAAAAAAAAAAAAAAGACCCTTCCCCCAGTACGGTCACATTCACGGGCTCTGGAGGTTAGGAGGTGGACACAGCTTTTTGGGGGACACCATCCAGCCTGCTACCAGCACAAACCATAGCAAGAACTAAGAGTCACTCTGTGAGTGATAATGGAATGATATTAATGATCTTCCTTGTCTGAGGAACGTGTTCCTGTGGGTTCGGCTTTGTAGATCAATGTGATTTTGGCTGCATTAAAAGTTAAAAAAACATCCACAGGCAGACATGTTGACACAAGAGAGAATTTCTCATTGTAACTTAAAGCTAGGAAAAAAGAGCCTGGGGCCAGAGGTTTCTTCATTTTTGGGGAAATGCATCCTCTCTTGTAGCAGTGATCCTAACTCCGGTTGCACAGTGGAATCGCTGGTTGCACCCCTGCATGTTCCGACCCCATTGGCCCGTGGGCCCCTGCTGCCCCTCCCCACTCCCCCAGTGCGTCTCCAGGGCTCACCTGCCTGCTCCCTTCCTCTGCAGTGGCTACGGGTGTTGGGATCATTACTACGAGTCGGACACCCTCTTGCATTCACTCCAAGTCCTGGCCGCCCTTCTGGACTCTCCGGTCACTCAGGATATCATCTGCGACGTGGGACTGTAAGTGCTAACACGCACATCTGGGAAGGCAAGCTCAGAAAACAAGGGAGGTTCAGGGTGCGAGCTGGCCTACCTTCAGGGATTCGGGATCTGCACACTTCAAAGATACAGAAGGCCTTATGTTGCAAAGCGGGTTTTGTACGCCCCCCAGCCTGTAGACCCCTAGGTCCCGCAACAGAGGCAGCTCTAGGAAGCAGCTTTTACAGGTTCCCCGAGAAGCTCCTGCCTGTGTGGGAGCACACTGTGCACCATGGGAGCATGGTGTTCACCCCGTCACACATATGGAACTTTCTTCCCTTAATGGTAAGTCTTGGGATGAGGCCACATCACTCCACATCAACACGCAGGCCATATGGTTCCGGATGGTGCAGTTGTATATGGCGTGGGTACGTAGGGGTGGGGTCCAGAGGAGCAGGTGTATACGGTGCGGGTACGTAGGGGGCAGGTTCCGTATGGCGCGGGCACGTAGCGCGCGGGTCCCCAGGCGCGGGTCGTACGGGTGGGATTCCGCTCCTGTGTGTGCCGTCCTCGCAAAGCCAGAGCCCCTCAGTGGGCTCGTGTGTCCTTCCTGTTTAAATCTTCAGGTCGGTTCTGCCTGACGGAAGCAGAGCCCTGTTTGCTTTCCTCTTAGCACAGCCTTGCGTGTGCCCACCACTTCCTTCCACCTCCTGTGACCCGTGTTTACTGGGGCCTCCTTTCAGCAGCTCACAGACGGGTTTTTTTTTCTTCTTCTTCTTCTTTTCAATTTTATTATGTTATGTTAATCCCCATACATTACATCATTAGTTTTTGATGTAGTGATCCACGATCCATTGTTTTCGTATAACACCCAGTGCTCCATGCAGAACGTGCCCTCCTCAATACCCATCACTGGGCTAACCCACCCTCCCACCCCCCTCTCCTCTAGAACCCTCAGTTTGTTTCTCAGAGTCCATCGTCTCTCATGGTTCGTCTCTCCCTCCGATTTCTCCCCCTTCATTCTTCCCCTCCTGCTTTTTTTTTTTTTAACATATAATATTTGTTTCAGAGGTACAGGTCACAGACAGGATTTTTGACCCAGTTTGGTCACGTTTATGATTCTGGATGTTTCCTATCTCTGCTGTGACAAATGACCGCAAACGTAAAACACAAAAGCAACACAAGTTTTTTGTCTTATGTTTGTGGACATCAGAAGTCTGAAAAATGGTTCAGATCAGCCAGGCTGGGTCCTGGAGGCTCTTGGGGGGCAGTCCTGCTTGGCGAGGCCCCTGCATCCCTCAGGACCCCTGGTCCACCTTCAGAGCCAGCAGTGGTCTCCCATACCTCTGCTCCCGCTCTGACCCCCGCCTCCCTCGTGTAAGGACCTGGTGACTACGTTGGGCGGCCCAGGTAGTCCAGGATAATCTCCCCATCTCAGGGTGTGCAAAGCCCCTGTCGTCATGTGAGGGGGCTTACATTACAATTCCTGGCGCTCCAGGAATTAGGATGTGGACGTCCCTGCGCTTCCTGATTCAGCTGCCACAGGGGCATAGTCCTGCTTGGGCCCTGTTGTCTCCCTCTGGGTTTCCCTTGTCTTTGGTGCTTTTCTGTGCTCCACTTTCTTCTCTTGGCTTAGAGTTTATAATCCTACTTTTTAAAAATTTTATTTGTTTATTTGAGAGAGGGAGAAGGAGGAGGGGCAGAGGGACAGGGAGAGAAGCAGATGCCTCGCTGAGCTGGGAGTCGGGCATGGGGCCCGATCTCACAACCCCAAGATCATGACCCAAGCCGAAATCAAGCATCAGACACTCAACCGACTCAGCCACCCAGGCGCCCTGTAATCCTATTTTTATTTCTATACTTTTTACTCTTAAGATATTAAGACTCATATTTATAAAGATATTTTCTTTTCACATCTAACATTTATTTGGACCTATAAGCTTCTAAACAAAACAATAATAATATCATGATGTCCTTGATACCTGGCCAGCTTCCCCCTAGCAGAGTGCCCCGCTTCCTGCAGAGGGGGAGGACACGAGGGGGGAGATGTGAAGCACAATATCTGTGGGAGGGGTCCAGACAGAGTGGTGGGCAAATGGAAGGGGCGCAGGCCACAGGTCAGGAGGTGCTCTGAAGGAGAACCAGGAAGGCGCAGGGGCTGGTGCTTAAGGCCAGTAGGGGACGGAGAGGTGACACGGTGACAGGGCTGCGTGCAGATGGGGGGGCAGCCACTGGAAGGTCTGAGAATGTTCCAGGAGAGAGGAAGAGCCCTGAGAGGGAATGATTACGCTCCACTGGAAGAGTCTCTCCCGCTTTAGAGCCTATCTCAGGGCAGAAACCCTCTGAGAAAGCTACTGGGGAGCCTTCTGCTTCTCCTCCAGGGCTCGAGGAGGCTTCGTACTAAAACGGACATAGGATTTTGCTGTTCGCAGACACGTGTGTGCCCCCTCTCTCCGCAGGCCTGTCATGCACCGGAATGTCCGCTACAACTGCAGGGTGATATTTCTTAACAGGTAGGTGGCGGCCGGGAGAGAGTGCCCCGCGCGCCGCCTCCCCCAGGCTCTGCTGCCCTGCGGCATGCTCTCTGGGAACCGCATGGTCGCTGGAACCCTGCGCCCTGGGAACCGCATGCTCCCTGGGAGCCATGTGCTAAGAGGCAGCTTCCGGCAACGTCTGGTCCTTGGGGGGGGCCCACATACGGGCAGGTGACCCAGGCATCACTGCTTCTCCTGGCCTCTGCCCACCACGCTCACCTTCGGGTATTAGAAGGAGAGAGACCGCAGGGTGGGGCTGCTGCCCTTCGACGGAGGGTGGTGTGTCCTGCTGTCTTGGCGGACCCCGGACGTCAGCTGCCCGCACAGCTCAGCACGCCTGCTGGGTCTTGGCGGCTCAGTCACCGTCCACCGTCAGGGGAGGGTGGACCTGTGGGCCGCCCCTTGTTAACGGGTGCTCATCTCAAGAGCCGTCCTGTTTTCCTCCCTGTAGGAGAATCCTGCTCATCAGACCCAAAATGGCCTTGGCCAACGAAGGCAACTACCGGGAACTGCGCTGGTTCACCCCGTGGTCACGGAACCGGTGAGTCCCCGGTGCCCCGAGCAGGGAAGCACAGGTTGTGGCCACTCTGTGGATGCTTGTTTCATGTCTTCCCTGGGCAGAGTCGTGGTCCGCATCCTGGGGGAGATACGAGAGAATCTGGGGGCAAGTTCCTGCCATTTTAGGTACAGCTGTCTTGAGGCTGCTGGTTACAGTACGGCCGATTGATTACAGAAAGCTCATCGACCGTGGCCCATCGGACATCTCATGTCCAGAGTCATCCTGTACGCCGGGGTGTCCACCGCGGCCTCGGGCTGTCCTCTGCATGGCAAGGGGTGCAGCAGCCTCCCTGGCCTCCCCCGTAGGTAGTCTGTTTGTGACAGCCTTGGATGTCTCCTGACTTTGGCAAATGTCCCCTGGGGGCATGGTCACCCCTGGGTGAGAAACCTGTCCGCTGTTCTCGCTGGGGTTCCTGGCGTTTATGTGGTCCTGTGGCTGTGGCAGGTGCAGCTTCCGACATTGTATCTTCAGACGCTGCATAGTTGTATGTAGGAAAACTTCGGGGTTTTCTGTACTTCCGCCACCCCCTTCCTGCACAGTTCTGTGGGACTTCTCGCCGTCCTGGGCTGACCAGCCCCCTGCATCACTGTCTCTGACAAGTTGCTCATTTGCTGGCATGTGGCTTCTAGTATATTCCAGAGGTTCCTACCACTCCCTCTGAGGTTGACTTCTAGATCACGGTTTACTCTAAGAGGATATAATCAAGACAACCAAGTGGGAAAGATGCACAGGGCGGGCTCTGGGGGTGTACTGTTCTCCCCGGATCTCCACGCAGTCACCAACCGAAGAACTCCCCAAACCTCATTCTTGGAAGTTTTCTGGAGGCTTCATTACAAGGCATGATTCATGAAATCATTGGCCTTTGGCCACTGAACTCAACCCCCAGTCTGGCTCCTTCCCCAGGTCTGGAGGTGGGTCCAAAAGCTCCAACTTCCTGATCCCTGGCTTGGCTCCCCTGGCAACCAGAAGGCCTTTCCCACTGACACCATTAATGTAAAAACACCTTTATGGCTCTTATCTCCGGAAAATCCAAGGGCTTTAAGAGCTCAGTGCCAGGAAGACCAAATATATTTCTTAAGGTAAATCATGATATCATACTTTCTAAGCAACGATCCATTAAAGGTGAATTTTTTAACATCTTGCCTGCGTGCAGATGTCTTTATTGGACTCTTACACGTGATGAATAGTTTTGCAGAATTAAAAAAAAAAAGCCTAGGTTAAAAATAACTTTTCTGCATAGTTTTAAATGTATCGTGTGTAGGATTGCCTTTGGCTTGTGCTCTTGCTGGGGAGAAGTCTGGTGCTACTCAGAGTCTTTTTAGCTCTCATGTGATTATTTTCTTTTCTCCTGGGCACATGGAGAAGCTTCTTGTTATCTTTGGTCTTTTAAAATTTTGTTATATGGGCCTTGGTGTGGGTCTTTGGGCCCTTGTGTGAAGCCCTCTTGTGGCCCTGTGACCCGGAGACCCTGGTCCCTTAGTCTTGGGAAAGGTTGTCCTGTCCTTTCTGGGCGAGTTTCTGTTCTATTTTCTGTTTCTGGAACACCTCTTGCTTGGGGATTCGATTTCCTGGACCGTTTCCTCTAGTCATCTTATCTTTTCTTTGCCACATTCTAGAAGATTCCATCATCTTACTCTCCGCTCTACTGAAATTTAAATTCAGCTATCTTATTTTTCGTTTTGAGAGCTCATTCTCGTTTTCTCATGCTTTCTTATGTAAAGCACTTTATTTGAGTGCCCTCCTTGACTGAACCACACAGGGGTTAGTTTGCAGCCCTTACAGAGCAGGTGTCTCTGGAGTTGGGAGGTCGAACCTGCCTCTGCCACTCAGCTGGGCCACTTCAGGCCAGCAGAGCGACCCGATCTCTCTCTGCCTTGGGGACAGTCACGGCAGTGATCCCGTAGGGCTGTGGTTGTGGGGATGACAGAGTCTGTGTGTAAAGCGCTGAGCACAGCGCATGGCAGGTGTTAACATGGCATCCATGTCCTTGTGGTTTCCTTAGTTCTGAGAAGAGTGCTGGCAGGTGGTGGGGACCCAGCAAATATTTGTCGAATGCCCAAAGGTTGTTGCTCAGGGATTTAAAGGACTCCTGAATCAATAAAAAACAGAAAAAATACTCAGAGAAACTCAAACAGAAAAATAAAGGTACAAAGAGCAAGGGAGAAATTTGATAGAAGCAAAAACAAACACATGAATCGATGCTGGGTATTGCTAGAAATCAGGCCGATATCAACAGGCACCATGATGAGATTTCTTTCTGTGCCACCCGAGCGGTAAAATTAAAAGGTTGGAGAGCGCCAGGTCCTGGCGAGGGCGCCACTCCAAGGGGTCTTGTGAAGGATAGCTCCCCCCGCCGCCCGTGTGCCGTGAGCCTGTGGGCACCTCACAGGGGTGAGGCAGGGGTGAGGCAGGACACCCACAGCGAGCGGCAGGGTGTGGACAGAGTGGGGACAGTGTGAGTCACATCGAGGCCAAGAGCAGGTGCACCGACCGCCGGCCGTAAGGGTGCGAAGCTGTCGGCGGGGCCGTTCCTCCATGGGCAGAGCTTCGTCCGTGCTGGGCCTCTGCTGTCCTAACCATGTGTGCCCGGTGGTTTTGACCTGACCATCGGGACTTTAATTTTTTTGAAGACTTATTTATTTATTCATTTGAGAGAGAGCAAGAGTGCACGAGCAGGGTGAGGGGCGGGGGAGAAGCAGACTCCCTGCTGAGCAGGGAGCTGATGCGGGGCTCGATCCCAGGACCCTGGGGTCATGACCTGAGCCGAAGGCAGACGCTTAACCGGCTGAGCCACCCAGGTGCTCCTACTGTCGGGACTTTAATTTTGGGAACATTTTCTTATTTCCCATTTTCAGAGGCTTTTGTTCTTTGTTCTCCTTGTCCAGGAGCCTTTGCTATCGGGCATCACGGGTCCTGGTCTTTCGTCGGCTCTCTACCCACGTACCTGTATTTTCTCTTGGGGTTCATTCCCCTAAATCTGTCCTCTGTGCCGTGCTCACGGGAGGCTCTGTTCTTCAGATCTGTGCACGTTTGCAGTTTTTCAGATCCTTTTCACCATGTGCAGGCTCCCTTTTTCTTTTTCCACTGTCTGATCATCTCTTCTTTGAGATCTTTTACTGGGCACGTTGTCTCTGAATTTCCTGGGCGTCTAGGATCTCTCGTCTCTGTCGTGTGGGTGTGTGGGCCTCATGGTAGCTCCTTCAGACGGTCGCTGGCATGATTGTGCCTGTGGAAGGGGTGGTGGCAGGCACCGAGCTGAGCAGCCGGCTCACACTTAGGCACCGTGGAAACGAGAGATTTTTACCCTCTGGGCGCTGTGCCAGTATGGTTTCCATAACTGGGCATGTTACTTTGTCCCCACCTTAGTAATGACCGCATGACAGGTTCAGGCCTCTTAAGAAAACAGAAAAAAATAACCTGGCTCTTGACTGCAGGAAACTTAAGAATCTGCTCATTTGGGGCACCTGGGTGGCTCAGTCATTAAGCGTCTGCCTTCCGCTCAGGTCATGATCCCAGAGTCCTGGGATCGAGCCCCGCATCAGGCTCCCTGGTCAGCGGGAAGCCTGCTTCTCCCTCTCCCACTCCCCCGCTTGTGTTCCCTCTCTCGCTGTGTCTCTCTCTGTCAAATAAATAAAATCTTAAAAAAAAAAAAAAAAAAAGAATCTGCTCATTTTCCTTATGTTTTTAGATGTACCCCCAGATTTAAGCACAGCGAGACAGGGATCACAGGGGCTCTTGTAGCTCCTTGGGGGTGGAGAAGGCATGTAATCAGCATGGCCAAAACTGGTTTCTTGGCAGGAATCCGCAGCTAGGTTTTTTCCAGAGGATGTTGGCTGGGAAGAAAGGGCATCCAGCTAGAGAAAGGCTTAGGCCATGCAGAGGAGTCAGGTGTGGGGACCATGGGAGGAGGTTGGACCAGCCTGAGCCAGGCTTTGGATGACCGGCTACAGTGCGGGACTTTTACTCATGATATTTTGGCTCTTTATGAACCCTGGAGAAGCTCACCAGCCACGTACGAGGTGCTTGCTGGCCTTGGAGCAGAGAGTGGACATGGAGGGGAGCACATACCATCTCCTGGTGGTGTTGCTTTGGTCTGGTACTCTGTGGGTCTTGGTGGGGGTGGAGGGGTAGGAGAGGAAAGGAGAAACCTTGGGGTGGGGGGGGTTCTTCCCTTTAAAGAGAATTTTGACACAGTGACGAGAGCAAACGTGCCCATGGTGGATAGAGAGCTCACTGGGATGGCAGGGTGGCTCGGAGGTCAGCAGGGTCGAGTGTCCCCGTCCCCGTCCTTAGCGCAGGAGAGAAGGCAGCACCCTCCAATTTCCGAGCGTTAACGATTTATTCAAGTAAAAGCTGCTAAAGTCATTCTGGAAGGTTCTTGTGAATTTCTCAGAAAGAAAAAAGAAATATACGTAATTAAAGGTCTTAGTAGTGCATCTTGTAACAGCCTATTTGAGGTCGGATCTGTGAACCGTGTATTTCTTCCATTCTAGCCATCCGTGCAGCCCCCTGGGAGGCCTTGTACCGAAGTGTGTATCAGACTCTGTCTGTCTTGTACTGTTGGGAGACTAATTCTGTCATCTCGGTGATAACATGGGTTTGCAGTTGTGCATCGGGTTAATGCAATGTGATCTTTCGGACTCAGAAACTTTGATCAGGAGTTCCAGCTGGATTTCTCCCTGGGGCAACGTGACCACCCTGGAGAGAATGCCTGTGATGTGTCTCAGGAGTGCTGGACAGCAAGGCGCGGGAAGCTGAGTCGGTCGGAGCCCCCTGGGTGCCATGGTGTCCGCGAGGAAAGCGCACCGGAGCTTTCTCTGTTCACCCTACATGCTTCCGTTTCTCTGAAGGGGATAGTTGAGGCACGTGTGAGCAGCTGACAGCCCTCTGCCTATTCGTGGGTTCGAAGCTCCCGGGTTGGCATTTGCTCACATTGGGATGCCATCTGTCCTGCTTTCCGAGATGCTCATCTTCAAGTCTGTGGTGTTTCCCTCCCCAGGCAAACAGAGGAGTATTTTCTCCCCCGGATGATACAGGACGTGACAAAGCAGGTGAGTGTCTGGGAGTAGATCTCATTTTCCAGCCACATGTCACTGTTCTAGGCTAACAGTGCACCACGTGGAGCAGGACTCTTCGGGTCAAGGCCCCAGAACCCGCCCTGACTGGTGAAGGAATAAAACCAAACAAGGGGAGAGATTCCTGTGCAAGTAGGGAGGCTGGAACCCTGGGTCGTGCTGGGCACCCCCTTACGTCAGTGATGCTCTGCCTGTTCGTGCCTCCCCCTCTCCTCCAGCTCACCTGCTGGGGTACCCCGGGGAGCTGGGGGAGGGGTCCCCACCCCACCTTAGCAGGCTCGCTCTTTTTTTTTTTTTTTTAAAGATTTTATTTATTTGGCAGAGAGACACAGCGAGAGAGGGAACACAAGCAGGGGGAGTGGGAGAGGGAGAAGCAGGCTTCCCGCTGAGCAGGGAGCCCGATGTGGGGCTCGATCTCAGGACCCCGGGATCATGACCTGAGCCGAAGGCAGATGCTCAACGACTGAGCCACCCAGGCAACCCAGCGGGCTCTTTCTTGCTGGGACTGCTGCCTGGGCCATGAGACCACCCAAGAAGCCAAGTTTGGGCAGGGGGAGAGGTTCTAGTTACAAAACTTTAGGAAGACTTTATGTGGCTGCCTGTTGAGTCTGTGAAGAACCAGCATTGGACATCTGTCGTGTCTTTTGGATCTGGCTGGCCCGGCCTTCAGAGCTGTGATCGTCCAGCCTGATCTGGGGGCCGCGTCTACCCTCTTCCTACGGGAAGCTGCTGGGGTGACAGCTGGAATCCTGCTCTATCCATTTCCCACAGGTGGTTGGAAGCCAGGGCACAGAGGGGTGCTCTAGGGGGGCCCTGACTTCTCTAGTTTCTGCCTGAGTTCCCATGCTGGTTGCCAGGTGTATTAATTTGCTCAGGCTGCCATAAAAAAGCACCTCAGATGGAGGGGATGTTGTTGAATAACAGATAACTTTCAGTCCCAGAGGCCGATGCCCGAGATGCAGGCGCGGGCAGGGTGGGGTCCTCCTGAGGCCTCTCTCCTTGTGTGTGGACGGCCGTGCTCTCCCTGTGTCCTCACAGGGTCGTCCCTCCATGCAGGTCTATGTCCTGATGTCCTTTTCTTATAAGGACCCCGGTCATATGGGATCAGAGCCCATCCCGGTGACCCCGTGTTACCTCGATCACCTCTGTAAAGGCCCCCACTCCAGATACGGTCAGGTTCTGAGGTGCTGGGAGTCAGGGCTCCAACATAGGAATCTGAGCGGGACACCGTTGAGCCCACAACCCTGAGTTCTCTGTACCCCTAATGACTACACTCCAGGTAGTTCATGGCGATTTACGGAGTCTCTCCAGTGGAGGGGTTCACAGGGATTCAGCTAGACCTTAGGGACGGACCTGAGCTGGAGCAGGGGTCCCTCTCCCCTGATTCCCACCAGGTTCTGGCTCCTTTTGCCTCTTGGTCATCAGTGGTTTCCTCTGCCTTTTCCCTGGAGGACAGTGGCCGCCCTGCCCCCAGATGGAGGCTACCTCTGCTCGGGAGCCGGACTGTGTCTCTGGTACGAGCTTTGATTCGTGAGCAAGGCCCTTCCAGAGGCCAGCTTGGGCTCGGCGCCTTCTGCGCGGACAGTCAGGGATGGGCACGGCTGAGGTTTGGGCAGGGACTCTCAGCCAGGTCTGGTCACCTCTGAAGTGACCTGGAAACTCATTTGGCCATGAACTGCAGCAGTGAGCACACTTTGAAATCGTCATGACCCAGAACAGACTCTGTGTGTGTGTGTGTGTGTGTGTTTCCGTGTCTGTGTCTGAAACAGACATGTCTGCAACAGTCCTGACAGTAGGATGCTCCCCATTTCGTTCTTCTGGGATCGTAGTATGTCCTAAAATCCATCCCAGTGGAGACGCACTAGGCTGACATGGGACAGAGTCTGCAGTTGGAAGGGTTTTGCCTGGTAGTTGATTGAAGGCCCTGGTAACTGGGGATTAAGGTTCAGGGGTATGTCCAGGAACAAGGCGAGGACAGCCCAGGACCCGCTGCACGTGGACAGTTCAGGCCTGGGGTAGTCAGTGAGCACGGCTCTGGATATGTGGTTTACCAGCTTGTTGCTCTGAGCTTTCTCACGATGTGTGGATTCCAGCCGTGCCCACATGCTCACGTTTGCCAGGGGAGCAGGGGCCCCACAGTCCCACGGCGGCCAGCGAGGGTCCTGGGTTAGGGCTCTCCTCACAGCCACAGTGAACAGTGACCTTGTCCGGGGCAGGACGCATCAGAGAAGACAGGGCCAGGTTTACACTGTGGCTCTCGCCATCAGGAGTAAAGGGTGTCGAACTCACACACACGCAGGGAGCCCGAGCCAAGTGTTCTAGGATATGTTCCAGGCCTCGGGATTATTTTTTGGCTGAACAAGGGGATGCCTCTTTTGTAACATTGGGATGAAGGGAGGTAGCCAAGTTGGACCAGGCTGGCGTGTGCCGAAGCGTCAGCATGCCCGCTGGAGCATCCCACGCCCGCGTGACCGTCAGCGCCTGGTGGGCTCAGGGCCTCCTCAGACCTGTGTGGCAGCCCGGGGTGGCTCTGCCGCCGCCCGGGAGCTCCCACCATGCGTGGCTTGTGAATGTGGTTCTTGCTGATGGACACACTTGCACTCTGGCCCTGCCGCTCGGGAGCTGGGTGACTTTGCTCAGGTTTCTTAAATGATCCTCAGGTCCTTCCAGGCACAGGGGTGGGACCACCTGGCCAGACTGGTGAGAGTGTGCGTGACGCAAAAAAGTGCAAAGTGCGACGGCCAGCTAAGTGAAACCATTTACTCTTTTTTTTTTTTTTAAGATTTTATTTATTTATTTGACAGAGAGAGACACAGTGAGAGAAGGAACACAAGCAGGGGGAGTGGGGGAGGGAGAAGCAGGCTTCCCGCAGAGCAGGGAGCCTGCTGGGGGGCTCGATCCCAGGACCCTGGGATCATGACCCAAGCCAAAGGCAGATACTTAACAACTGAGCCACCCAGGTGCCCTGAGACCCTTTACTCTTAATAACGAAGATGACCGTGGGGATTTGTGCCAACAGAAATTTGAAGAGCAGAGTGACAGTTTGTCACGGCCCCAGTGAGCCCTGCAGCCACGCAGAGCACAGCGCCCGGCTAGTGAGATTCCCTCTGGTGCCGGGCCGCCTGGGCTGGGAACGCTCCCACGCTGGGGCTGGGAGGAGAAGGGCAGCGAGGTCAGGACGCAGCCCAGACGGGGCATGGCCAAGGGATCTTGGGCGCTTTGTCCTCCGACTGCAGGAGACTGTGCCCTTTGGAGACGCAGTGCTGGCCACCTGGGACACCTGCATTGGGAGCGAGATCTGCGAGGAGCTCTGGACACCCCACAGGTCAGCCTTGGCCCCCTGTGTGCGGCAGCCCTGGTGGCGTGGCCTTGGGCTGTGGAGGCATCGGGGCTGGGAGGGCGGGGCGCACAGCCCGTCGCTTCCTATCAGCCGCCTCTGCCCACAGCCCGCACGTGGACATGGGTCTGGACGGCGTGGAGATCTTCACCAACGCCTCGGGCAGCCACCACGTGCTGCGCAAAGCGCACGCCAGGGTGGATCTGGTGACCATGGCCACCACCAAGGTAGGCGTTGGGCCACGATGCTGGAACGTGCATGTTGCGAGCTGGTGCCGCGTCCCACACGGGAGCCCAGGCGGCAAGGACGCGTGGTGGGCATCAGTGCCCGTAGTTGGGGCCCGTGCTCAGCAAATGTGCATGGGCTCCTCCGCTGGGGCCCCACCTGCCTGACCTCATTTAACCCTGGCCGCACCCCAGGGAGGCAGGCGCTGCTACCCCTGCCTCTGGAGCAGGGTACCTGGTTCATGCCGCCAGTGACCACGGGCTTACACCCCCAGGCCCCCGCCGCGTGCAGGCAGTTTCCCTGCAGCGGAGCTCTTTATGGTGTGGCGGGAGGGCTGAGGAAGGGCAGGTGACGTCCCGCTGCCATTCACGTCTTCCAGAACGGGGGGATCTACCTGCTGGCCAATCAGAAGGGCTGTGACGGGGACCGGCTCTACTATGACGGCTGCGCCCTGATCGCGATGAACGGCCGCATTTTTGCGCAGGGGGCCCAGTTCTCCCTGGATGACGTGGTAAGAGTGAGCTCACGCGTCCTGGGAGTGACTGCGCCGGGGGGGCGGGTGGTGACAGCAGAGCGGGGACCCCTGGGTCCCCCAGGAGGACGTGGAGCTGGAGCCGCCTGGGGAATAAGTAGGCACCGGTCCCCACGGCGAGGAGGGGCATTTGGTGGGGGGCCTTATCCACAGGAGTGGAGCAGAGGGGAGCTCGGTGAGGCCACTTGAGACCCACTTGCCCTTGCCCACGTGTCCAGGCATGTGCGTGTCAGCTGTCGGCCTGACGCCACCCTGCCCCCGCGTCCTGGAATGCTTAGCTGTCTTCAGGCCGGGTCGATGTGGCCCAGACTCTGGGCCGCATGTCAGAGCCGCGGGCACCTTGCCCAGGACTGATTGGCAGTGGACTGGGGTCACCTGCACCAGGAGAAGCAGGCGTGTGGATCCCTACAGGCTCTGGGCCCCAGCCAGGCCTCAGGGTTGGTTACCTGGGGATCTGCATTTTAAGCATATACCTAGGTGATTCATAAGCACACGAAAACCCGAGGACCATTGCCACCTGTTTCCCCAAGGGGGCTCGCAGGCTGGAATTACCTGATTTTGCCCGAGCATTCAGGGAGAGAGGGCATCGCCGTCCTCGGGCCGTGCTCTCCTGCCACGTCCTCCGTGATCCGCCCAAAATAATCAGAAGAAATCGTGAGGCGCACGGAGCCATTGCACAGAGCAGCAGAGCTGCTGACCGTGCCCTAGGACGCGCTCCTCGGGGTCTTCCGAACCTCGTGGGCTGCCTGGCACTGTGGATGCCTGGGTTGGGCGTTTATGTTGATGCTAACCCGTTTTGGAGAAAAGTGGAATGGGGTCTTCTTCTCATGAAAAGATTCACGCTATAGTTTTTGGTTTTTGTTTTTGTGGCCTCACTCTTCCCTTGGGTTTGTCGCAAGGAAAATACGGTGGCTTTGGTGGCCCATCACTTTGGGAAATGACGGGAGGACCAAAGGACAGATGAGCTCTATTTTCTCTCTCTCTGTGGAAGTGTCCAGCCTGGGTCGGGCCCGGTGTTGACAGTGGCAGATGCCCACAGGCCTGTTAGGAGTGTCCTGTGTCACCCGGTGGTGCACAGGACTAGCTCCCGCTGCCCCCGACTTGCATGCAATGACACGATATTCTAGTGACATCAGTTGACTGGGAGTATTTTTTCATGAAGATAGAATAACATAAATGAATTGGAAGCTTCTCTTTTTTGCTGTTTTTCGAAAGTTTATTCTTTTTCTATCTCGTGGTATTTTCTACTCGTAATACTCCTGTCTCATCTGGTTGTGAAGGCAGGGACGTGTCACCGCGATCACACAGGCAGCACATCCAGGCCCCTCGCATGGATCGCCGGGGCTCTGGCTCCACCTCTCCGCCATGCTCCAACCCGGCCTTCCTCTGTGTGGGCTTGGATCTGGGCTTGCCTCTCCTCCTGGTCACAGGGTGGCTGCAGCAGCTCCAGCCATCTCATCTCCACACAGCCACAAGTGAAGCAGAAAAGGGGCCCTTGCTCCCAAGAGTCCTTTTAAGAGGGGAGAAGCTGTCTCGGAAGTCCGCGGCAGATGTGCATTGGCAGAGTCGGGTCCTGTGCCACGATTGAGGCACCGCTGCCACGTGTCTGAGTTCACCGGAGGCTCTGGTGGCAACAGTGAGAGGGAAGGGCTTTGGGTCAGCAACAACACTGCTGTGCCCTCTCCCTGGGCCCCTGGGAGCCCACAGGTCCCCAGTCTTGCCTTAGAAGGCGTGACGGACGCTGTGCAATTTGGCACACCCATGAGAACGGCCAAATCACAGGTGCAAATGGGGGAAACAGGAAACACGCTTTCTCTTTGAAACCCCTTCTCCAGGAAGTCCTCACCGCCACGTTGGATCTGGAGGACGTCCGAAGCTACAGGGCGGAGGTTTCATCTCGAAACCTGGCGGTGAGTTCGCAGAGGCACACGCAGGTGCCTGACAATGCCCCGAGGACTCTTTTCTTAAATCCTGCATTTACTGACCACGTCACTGAGCTGTTATTCCCGTGCCACACCGTGGTGCGGTGGTTTCGGGCACCCTCACGGGCTCATGCAGCCGTCAGCACGTCAGCACAAAAGAAACCCGAGCCGCTAGCCTCACTCTGCAGCCCCCTCCCGCCCTGCACAGCCCCCAGCCTGCCTTCGGTCTCTGGGCTGCGGGCGTTGCACGTAGATGAAATTACGTGTGTCGCTCAGCACAACGTCCGCAGGGTCCCTGTCCAGCAGCTGTCAGGGCTTTGTGCCTTTTTACGGCCAAAGCCCGGTCCACGGAGCGGGTGCGCTACACGGCGATGATCCAGCCTCCGCTGAGGACACGTGGACCGTGTCTGTTTTCTGTCTGATGAATGATGCTCTCCGAACGTGGGTGCGAGTTCTTGTGCAGACGGTTTCTCTTGGGCGTGCACCTGGGAGGGGGGCTGCTGGGCCACACGGTCACCCCGTGCGTGCACCTGTGAGGGACTGTCAGACCGTCCGCAGCAGAGGCCCCTCCACGTCCGAGGCTTCCAACGCTGGGTCCTGTCCGTCTTTCCGACTCCCGCGTCCCGCTTGGAGTGACAGCACCACTGTGGCTCTGACGCCCGCTCCCACGGGCTTGCCGCCGCGGGGGCGTCACGTTGTCGCGAATCTCCGTCAGCAGGCCAGCAAGGTGAGCCCCTACCCCCGCGTGAAGGTGGACTTCGCCCTCTCGTGCCACGAGGACCTGCTGGTGCCACCGTCAGAGCCCGTCGAGTGGAAGTACCACAGTCCCGCGGAGGAGATCAGGTGGGCGGCCCCCGCCCACAGGGAGGGAGGGGTGGTGCTGGCCCCGGGGCGCCGTGCCGGGGGGCGGGGGCCGGAGCAGTGCGGGCGGCTGGTTCCCAGAACCTGCCCGGGGTGGCCGCTCAGTGAGGAGGAGGCCGTGCGGCATCGGGGTTGAGGGCGTGGGGGCCGCAGCCAGGTGGCCTGGCTTCCTCGCCTGGTGCCGGGGCCTTGGGCACAGGGGCCCTGCCTGTCCTTTCCTTTTTGTGTCTTAGTTTTTCTGCTTCAAAATGGGGCCAAAAGATAATCACCTACCTCCCAGGGCCGTTGGGAGACAAAAATGCATTAATTCCCATGAAGCGCTTAACAGAGACATTTGGTGAATCGGGAGGGCCCCTCCCCCCGGCAGTTCTCCCTGGTGCTGCTCCTACCTGGGCCCCTGCCCCCAGGTAAACTGCACACCAGGTCAGCAGCTCCCAGGCCTCACGTGTCCCCTTGCTCCCCAGCCTCGGACCCGCGTGCTGGCTCTGGGACTTTCTGAGACGCAGCCAACAGGTAAGATGTCCAGTGTTTGTGTTTGACTCCATGGCAGCCTAGGGGTTTTCTTTTCTTCACGCTGCCTCCATCAGGAGCTTAGTCTCTATGAGGCAGAGGCCAAAGGGCACACGGAGGTTTGGCTCCATCTTTGGAACCCTGTCTGATGACACGCAGAGTGACGAGACGGCGTCCCCCGCTGGTCCCGTGCACCTGACGTCTGTACCGGGCAGACGCCCAGGTACCTAGATGCCCTTCACTGCCCTTCACAGCGGGAGGGCTCTCTTCCCTCTGGAAAACCCGTCTGAAATATGTGGCGCATCTTTGTTCCCCCCACGTCTGTGGGTGGAGCTGGGCTAAGTTTGGGGCACGTTGCTTCTCTGAGGCTCTGCTCACACCTGCCTTTGGTTGGCCCATTCCAGGCCGGGTTTTTCTTGCCCCTGAGCGGCGGGGTGGACAGCGCAGCCACCGCCTGCCTCGTCTACTCCATGTGCCACCAGGTCTGCGAGGCCGTGAAGCACGGAAGTAGGTGGCGTCCACTGGTCTGAGCAAGGCTCCGGGGGTGGGGACTGGGCTGAGAACCCAGGGTCCTGGCCATCGTGGGTGAAGGAGGCTCTGCAGATGCGCTCAGATGTCCCAGCAGGACCTGGGGACAGCAGGCCATTAAAGCCCCTTCCTGGGGCTCAGGCCCATGTGGCCGTGTCCATCAAGCCCTCTGACCGCTGCTGGGCGCCGGCAGTGTGGCCCCGGCCTTGGGCTCAGGCAGACCCGGGTCAGGATCCTCCCCCGTGTCGAACATCCCCTTAGCGTGCCCGCCAGAAACATGAGGGGAAGGCTCTGTAGGTGGAGACCTTGCCCGGGCGAAGGGAGGGACTGGGCTCTGAGCACCGCGTGCAGCCGGGGGTCTCTACCTGCTACCCGCCATCTGGTGGTTTTCAGACCAGGAAGTGCTGGCTGACGTCCGGGCCATCGTGGACCAGCTCAGCTACACCCCCCAGGACCCCCGGGAGCTCTGCGGGCGTGTGCTGACCACCTGCTACATGGCCAGTGAGAACTCGTCCCAGGAGACATGTGACAGAGCCCGGGAGCTGGCCCAGCAGATCGGAAGGTAGGGGAGACGGCCGGCACTGGCGGGGGCTGCTGCAGCCGGACCCACGCCACCCGAGGCCCCGCCCAAGCCCACACTCGTGCTTAGATGCGTGTCCAGGGTTGAGCAGGTTGCTACAGTCTCTCGTGAGCCAGGTTTTAGGGAGACTGTTTCCGTTCCCCCCAGAGCCTAGCTGTGTCTGATTGCCACCCCTCCTTCCCATCATCCTTGCATCCCAGGCGCCGGCCAGCAGGGCTCGTGGGTCCCCCCGTGTGGGAGCCCGGGACCCCACTCACCACTCTGGGGAGCGTGCAGGCTCTGTACCGGCTGCTACGCTCTCCCACCCGGCCAGCTCCCTGTACCTGGGGAATGGGGAGGGGAGGCCTTTCTCCCGATGGGGCGCCTCGGTCCATTCAGGCTCTTCGTTTCTTCTGCTGCTTGGGGAACAGTGCGGAGCTGCCTGTTGCCTGTGCCGAGCTCAGCTAAAGCCCCCCAGCAGTGCTGCTCCTGGCCACGTCCCCCAAGGAGCTGAAAACAGGGGCTCAAACAGACATTTGTGCCCAGGCTCACGCAGTAGCCCGAGCGCAGAAGCAGCTCAAGCTGTCGGGTGACAGACGGATGAGTAGACGAGATGAGTTCTGGGCCGAGAATGGGGTATCGGTCAGCCTCAGAAAGGAAGGACCTCTGTCACCTGCTACCTCGTGACAACCCCGGAAGATGTGATGCTCGGTGAAATCCGCCAGGCACCAAGCATCACGGCCCGCGGGAATGCCCAGGATAGGCGGCCCTACAGGGACAGAGAGCGGGGCGGGTGCAGACGGGCACAGGGCTCCCTGGGGCTCAGGCGTGTTCCGGAACCGGACAGAGACGCCAGCTGCATAGCACCGTGAGCTCGCCCCGAGCATGCGCGTTCACGCGGCTGGGATGGTGAACTCAGGGTTACGTGTGTTTTAGTGCATGTGCACGCACACACCCCGTGCACGCCCGCCCTGCCCTTTCCCCGGCAGCCACCACGTTGGTCTCAACATCGACCCAGCGGTGAAGGCCGTCATGGGCATCTTCAGCCTGGTGACGGGTAAAAGGCCTCGGTTCGCGGTTCACGGAGGAAGCAGCAGGGAGAACCTGGCCCTGCAGAACGTGCAGGTGAGCCTCCCAGCCAGGCCCTTGTCCCCGCGCGGGAGCCGCAGGGAGCCCGGGGGCCTCGTGGACAAGGCTGAGGGTGCGCCTGCACCCGAGTGTGAGTGTGCAAGAGCTAGAGGGCGCAGGGGTGTCCGAGAGTGCTGCGTGGGTGGAAGCTTGTGTGCGTGTGTGTGAGTGCACAAGCGTGTGCGTTAGAGGTGGTGGGGGAGACGCGGTGCACACGCAGGCGTGAGGGTTCTGCATCTTCAGCGAGTGGCTCCACGCGCCCTACCTCCGGGGCTGCCGCAGGGGAGCCAGACGCCGGCCGGTTGGTGGAGGGGAAGAGGGACCCTGGGCTCCAGCCGCTGCGCTCTGTCCCGTCTCTCCCTTTTCTTCTGGCCACAGCGGCCTTCCCTGCTCCGGAAACGCTGGCTGTGAAGGGGGTGCAAAAAGGGGCCTAGACTTCTTTGCAGCCCCATCCCGCCCCAGAGCTCTCTCGGCTCCCCGGCTCCGGGTCCGTCCATCTGGGATACGGTGCCGCCCGCTGTCAGGCCCGGAGGACCCTGCTTCCTCTGGACGCTAGAAAGCTCCTACACTACCTGGAGTCCCTTTCCCTGGAGCTGTACGGGGGGCGGGGGCCAGTGTGTGTGTGTCCTCCCATGTCCAGCACAGGGTGACATTTCCTGTTGTGTCCCCCAGGCGCGGCTAAGGATGGTCATGGCCTATCTCTTCGCTCAGCTGAGCCTCTGGGCCCGGGGCGCTCGCGGTGGACTGCTGGTGCTCGGATCGGCCAACGTGGACGAGAGGTGCGTGTGCCTGGCTCCCGAGCGCCCCAGATCTCCAAGGGCGCGTGCTCCCCGAGACAGTGTTTCCAGACCCCCACCCGTTCTCACTGCATCTGCGAGACACACGGTGTGGGGGTCACATCACCCCGTGGCACAGGCCACGTCTGGTACCCACAGGACGTCATTGCTCCAAACCTTCCCGATGACTCGGGTGTGGAGACAGGTCAACGCTGTTTCCTTCTGGCTCCCCGCCCACCGGCCCAGCTCAGACCAGCTGCACCTGCCTTGGGGCTCTTCCTTTGCACTGGGTCTGGAATCTGTCTCCCCACCCCACCTCGCTTGGCTTCACCCATCTCTTTCTCCTGGGCAGTTTCACTGCGTTCTAGGTCCTTGCTCTGTCCAATTTCGCTCCCAAGCAGATACCTCATTTCTGATGTGGACTTGAAATACTTTCTCATATTGGTCAAAAAAACTCAGAGCCTCCCTATCGTTCTCTAGATAAATTTTAGCTGACTGTTAGGGTGAGCAGTGGAAGCTGGGAGGACGCCTCCAGCCTTGGTTTCTGCATTTCTCTCTGGCGGGCCTTGTTAGCAGCGGGGGTCAAGAAACGTATCTGTCATTTATTCAACTATTCATCTATGCATCAGTCTATCCATCCATCTGTCCACCCATCCATCCCTCCGTCCACCTGTCCATCCACTCACCTATCCACTCATCCATCCATTCATCATCCATCCATCCCGCCAGCCATCCACCCACCCACCCACGCATCCCTCCACCCATCCATCCATCCATTGTCCCACTCACCCACCCATCTGTCCATCAGTCTGTCCACTCACCTGTCATCTGTCCATCCATCCATCTTTCTAAGTGTATCATGAATGTCTTAAATCTTTCTACATCCTTGCACATCTGCAAATGTGTTCTCTGTTAAATGTTACTTTGGACTTCTGGATTCTACTTTCTACTTATGACAATTTGAAATTAGCACCCTTTAGCTGGTAAAAAATCTCCCCATTCTCACGCACACTTTGTCAATTTCCATTGCTTTTTTTTTTTTGTTACCCCCGGTGCTTCTGTAAGGAAAGGATTTTTCAGGAGGGGTGTGACGGCTAGTGCATATCCTGAACCTGATGTAGTTGAGAATATTGGCGCATTTTGTTCTGTTCGCTTTTAAACACGAGTTTGACTTCTTATCGTTGATACGGTGTGGCTACCATAATTGTTTTATTGCAATATTTTTCATCATAATTCTTATCCATTGTCTTCTGGGATTTAATATTTAAGCAAAAAATAACAGTGATTTTTTTTCCAGGGTGGGAATGGGCTTCTGGGTGCTTAAAGGTTTTCTATGGCGTCTATTTACGTATTCATCTGTTTTCATCACTTTTTGCTGCCAGGCCTCTCTTACGGGTACATAGAAGTCTGTCTACAGCCGCAGAAACTTTTCAGTTGTGCTTCCTCTGTTGTCTTTGTTTCCTGTCCCCACTGGGACGAGTGTCCCTCACTGTGTCCCCGTCTACGATCTACCCGTTGCTCACATCCCAGGGTAGAGCCTCCAGTCTGAGTCTCTGCCGTGCTGGTTCTCATTTAAACGTTACTTCTCATCCTAACTTTGGTTCCGCTGCGCTCTGATTTGCTCCCTCCTCAAGGAATTGATAAAACATGTGCCACGTGTCAGGCGGTCTTCTTGGTGCCGTGAATAAAACAGCAAAGTAATTCCCATTTTATTCTAGTGGAGGGAGACAGGTAATAGGAAAACTAATCACGTGTGTAGGAAGTGGAAAGTCTACGAAGAAAACCAGGGTAGGCGCGGGGAGAGTTTGGGCATTTGGACTTGTAAGTAGGGTGGCCAGGGAAGGCCTGTCTGAAAAGTTGGTTTATAAAGGAGGAGGGCAAATGCAGCCAGGAGAACGGCCTGTGCAAATGTCCTGTGATGAGAGCTCACCAGGACAGAGAGCGGTTGTCCCTCGTCTGCAAAGCCCCGTCTTGTCCGAGGGAGGTCCTGGGAGCCCAGCTGGGACAGGTCGAAGGAAAGTGATGGGTGAGGGGACTGCGGGTCAGCTCTTTCTAGAAGTTTCACCTGCAGGAGAGGGGAGGTGCAGGGTGGAAGCTGGCAGGAGCAGTGAGACAGGGAAAGGTGTTTTCTTAAGGTTTGATGAGAGAGGTCTAGCAGTTGCTGATGAGGAAGGGGGACGTGGGTGGACAGCTGCCATGCCGTCACAAGGAGGTGGGAGCGGGCGGCCAGGCGAGGGGCCGGCTTTACTGGGAACCCAGCTACTGTGTCCACGGAGTAGCAGGAGGCCACAGAGCAGACGCCCAGATGCGGGTGGGGGGAGGTGTAGGGTCGGGGCTGCAACTGCCCTCGTGAGGCGGGAAGCAGTCACCAGCCGAGCGAGGGTGCGGGGCGGGCGCTGGGCATTTGAGGAGAGTGGTGGCGAGCAAGCGAGACGGGTCAGGGAACCAGGCGGGCAGCGCCAGCCCTAAGGACGCCCCGGAGGTGGGGTCGCGCTTTCCAGCCAGCCGTGTCCAGCTGCGTATGCATGTGGAACATGGGAGCCGGGTGAGGGTGGCAGAGAGAGAGGGACACAGGAGCTGAGGAGCCGCAAGGAGAGGTGAGGAGGGGTGAGCACGAGGCAGAGGCCAGGTAAGCCACAGACCCCGGGTCCTGGTGCAGTGGAGGCTGCAGGAATGAGCTGCCACCCCCGTGTCCCATGATCCGCTGGGAGACGGACTGAGCATCGGGAGGTACTCATGGCTGTGGTTGATTACAGCCAAAGGATGCAGAGCAGAAGGCAGATGGAGAAAACCAGGCCCAGGCTTCCAGAATCATCTCCCAGGGAAGCGTCACTGATATGCTTCCTTCCCCGGCCACACCTGTGACAGCAGGGAAGCATGTCAGAGACTCCGTGCCCAGGGGTTGCTCTGGGGGCTGGTCACACGGGCACCGTCCCCCTGGCCTGGACCGGGCTTTCAGTCCCAGAAGGAGAGCAGTGCTCAGCACCAACCAGTTCATGCGGCCTGGGGGGGCGGCGAGGCATGCTTGGCTCCTGGTGTATTTTGGCATCACAGGGAGAACCAACAGGATTTGCTGGTGGACCAGACGTGGGGTGAGGATACCCAGGCCGACCCAAGCCACTGGAAGGATGGACTGGTGTTTGGCCGGATGTGGAGGCGCAGGAAGCGGGTGGGGAGGTCAGGGTCCAGTGTCGGGAATGTCGGCTTTGACACGTCTTCCAGACACGCCTGTGGAGGTATGTGGTGGGCAGTCATACGGGGATTCTGGAGTCCCGGGGTGAGCCGCACCCCCAAATCTGGAAGTCTGCAGATGGCGAAATGCCATTTAAAGCTACGAGGGCAGCTGGGCCTGTGGGACTGAATGTTTACAGAGAAGGGAGTGGGTCAGGGGGCCCAGATTCCAACATGAGGAAGCTGCCAACAAGAGCACCCAGCCGGTGCGCGTGGGACCCTGAGGACAGGCGCCCAGAGCCGGGCAGAGGGCCTGTTTTGGGGCGGCTGGTGCTTGTCGCTCGGGTATGGGGAGGACTGGCGGCTTTTTACTGGAGAGGCCAGGGCAGGGAGCTGGCGGCGAAGCTCGAGAGAGAGCTGGAGGGGAGTGGACACGGCCCCGAGAGGTTCAGCTTGGGGGGCAGGGGCGCATGGGCTGAGGGAGGACAGGAAGGCAGCGGCCGTCGGGCGTTACCTGTGCTCATGGGAGCGGAGGGGGCAGGTTCTTGGAGCCTGTGAACCTGCCCGTTAGCGGACCATCCCAGCCGGACACGGTCAGCTCCCGGTGCTTCTCGGAGCAGGCTGGAGCCCGTCGTCCCCTCTGGCCAGCAGTCCCTGTCCCCACTCAGCCGCCTCTTCAACAGGAGGGGGACTGGTGGAGTGCCCACCTTGGGGTGGATGGGAGGAGCCCTGCTCAAGGCGGCACCAGGTTTACCTGCCCTTCTGTTTGGTGCCCTGGGGGTCTTACGCCCGAGGCCCTGCTCTGTGGCAGGAGTCTGGAGGAGGAACGAGAGCTGGGTCTTTCTCCCGAGCAGCAGGAGGTCAGTTGTGCGGGTGGAGGAGGCCCCGTGCTCGCCGGACGGTGTGTTTTCAGCCAGACCGGGCGCAGGACATCAGGCAGAGCGAGCAGCTGTTTGGTGCTGGTGTTGGAGTGTGGGCCCGGGTGACACAGGCAGAGGCCGGGCCCTGGAAGGCCACCCCGAGGGGCTCAGGGGCACGTGGCGGGGTCGGGAATCACCTTGTGGGAGGCTGGGGGTGGTGGGGGGCCTGGGGATGTGGGTGGAGAACTGTCGTCCAGAGGTGGGTGTAGAGGAAGGCGTCCCCTGGATGGTGTGGGTAGCGAACGACCAGGGAGTCAGTGGCCCAAGCAGTGTCCTCTCGCCATTCTGTACGATCCCAGCTCAGTATGGATCTCACCGGGTTAAACTCAAGTTGTCGGCAGGGCTGGTTCCTTCTGGAGCTCGGGGCTCCTCCCTCCCCCAGCAGAGCCCGCGGGGCAGCATCTCTGCCTTCCTCCCGGCTCACGGCGCCCTCCGGCTCTGCCCCCCACCTTCCTCCTAGACCTGTAAGGATGCTTGTGAGTGCATTTAGGGCCACCTGACAATCCAGGTTGAGAACCTCACCTCAAGGTCTTCAACTTAATCCCGTCTGCAGCCCCATTTGCCCTTGGGGTCCCATGTTCACAGGATCTGGGTAGAGGATGTGGGTGTGTTTGGGGGCCACTCTTCGGCCCCCCGCAGGAGGTGTCTGGGAGGGAGAGGCACAGGTGTGGAGAGGTGGCCCGGCTGCCATGGGCTCAGCCCTCAGCCCCCTGTTCTGCCAGCCCTGGCCTTCAGACTCGCCGCTCCCGGCTGGACGCCGGGCGTTCCCAGGTCTGTCTCCCGGCTCCCATGCCTTCTCGGGCCAAGTACCTCCCCTTGGTCATCTGCCGCCTCCGCCCCTTTGCGTACGGCTCCAGCTGTGCCGGGCGTCTCCGAGACCCTCCAGCTGGCCGAGCTCTGGCTCTGGGTGTTGACGAGGGCCCGGACCCCAGGCAGGATCTGCAGCCCCTCAGGTTAGCCACGTGGAAATCCCGTGTTCTCGCCCCACAGTCTCCTCGGCTACCTGACCAAGTACGACTGCTCCAGTGCGGACATCAACCCCATCGGCGGCATCAGCAAGACGGACCTGAAGATGTTCATCCAGTTCTGCCTGGAGCGCTTCCAGCTCCCCGCCCTGCAGGGGTGAGTGCCGCCCGCGAGACCACGGCTGCACCCAGCATCGCCCCCTTCCACAGCTCCCTCCTGCCTGATGGACACGGTCCCGCCCTTCAGCGGGCACTGGGGTGCCGTGACCCGGCGGCCCCCTTCACGCCGGCGCTCCCCCGGGCCCCACAGGGATTTGGGGCGATGTCTTTAGACCCCGTTGGTGATGGCAGCACTGTGCTCACGGCACCTAGTGGGTAGGTGCCCCCAGGTGGCCCGCGGCGCCCAGGACGGCCCCACAGGGACGCCTGACCTGCCCGTGGGGTAGCACCTGCCGTCAGTTCCTGCCCCAGGTCACGAAGCCCCCCGACATCCACGTCCGTCTCCCCAGGAAAGCCCAGCCCCGCCGGCCCCAGCTCGGGGTCGACAGGGGCGTTGCTGGAGGCCGGCCGTTGCGCCTGGGCAGTTGGTTTGGGGCTTCCCCGCACGCTCACGAGCTCTGTAGCAGCGCCCACGGCTGACCTCCGTGTGTCTTGGCCGCAGCATCCTGGCAGCACCGGCCACCGCAGAGCTGGAACCCTTGACCGATGGACAGGTGTCCCAGACAGACGAGGTAGTGCTGGTGGCTTTGTGACCGTTCCCCACCTCCCTGCTTCCTCACGTCTGTGCCGGGCTCTTCCACGACCTCCTTTCTGCCCCGAGCAACCAGGGAGCCCAGGGCTCAGTGCCTGTCCCGCTGCTGACCTTTGCCGTTTCGATTCGGCCTTCTTGAGGCTGACCCCCGGGCGGAGGGGTGAGTGGGGCAAGTCTCTTGCAGGTGGCAGGGGCGCGACCTCAGAAGAACCACTCTTGACCCCGGCGTCCCATGCCGGCCTGCAAGCGATGAGGGCCGACCGGGGCCGTAGGCTGTGGTGTGCAGCTTCCGTGGTCGAGGCTGGAGTGGCCGTGAGCCGTTGCAGAGTCTGTGACAACTGACCGTCCTGCCACCAGCGCCTTTGGTCACAGAGATTTACTCATGCTCATCCCAAGAGTTTGTAGATTTAGTCTTACGTTTAAGGCCGCAACCTGGTTGGGGTAGTTTTTGTGTGTGGTGTGAGGAAGGGATCCCGCTTGGTCGTCTTGTTGAAGAGACCGTTCTCCCGCGGAGCGTCGCCATCCTGGTGGAAATCAGTTGACCCTAAGTGTGTGGATCCATTTCCGGACTCTGTTCTGCTGACCTGCGTGTCCGTCCCTGTCCCGGTACCTCACGCACTCGGTCACCACAGCTTGGTAGGAGGTTTTGATATCGGCAAGTGGGAGTCCTCCAACTTCGTCACTCTCTCAACGTAATTTTGGCTGTTCTGGGCCCTCGGAACTTCCGTATGAATTTTGAGATCAGGTGTAATTTTCTGCCGCACACACAGCACCAGCTGGGATTTCCACGGCAGGCGCACTGAGTCCGTAACTTGATTTGGCAGATGTTGCCCCCTGAGAATGTGAGGTATTCTGAGGCCTGGACGTGGCATGTCTCCGTCTTTGCTTCGGGCTTCTTACTGTTTCAGTGTTTCATAGCTTTCAGAGCGTGAGCATGCACTTGTTTTGTTATTTATTTCTAAGCATGTTATCTTCTTTGTTGTCCCGTAAATGGAATTGTTTTCCAAGTTTCCTCTCTGGGTGGCTCGTTGCCCGTGTCTAGAAGCACCTGACTTTCTGCAGCTCCTTTCTGTCCTCTCTTTCTCATCCCTGCCGTGTGTTCGAGGGTCAGTTTGCACTTCTCCCCGCTTGGCATAATGTGGAAAGTGAGGTCTTCTTTTTTAAAAAATTCCTCCCTTACCGCCACACCCCTGGGCCCCACACAGAGATGCCACGTCTTCATTTTTGTGCATCTCCAGGCATGTTCTAATTTTCCTCGTGATTTCTTTTCTCACCTGTCGGTTACTTGAGAGTGTGTGGTTTGATTCCCACATATTTGTGAGTTCCTGAGATTTCTATTTGTCACTGAATTTGTAATCCTATTTCTTTATGGTCGGAGAGCAGACTTTTCCAGTGTTCTGAAACTCACGGAGGCCAGTTTTATGGCCTGGCATCTGGTCTGTCCTGGACAGCGTTTCGTGAGCCTCGAGGAGAATGTTTGCTCTGCAGTTGTGCATGGAATGTTCTAGAGAGATCGGTTAGGTCTAGTCGGTTTGTAGGTTTTGAGTTTTCTCTCCTCTTGTTGGTTTTTTGGTCTAGTTTTGTGCATTATTGAAAGTGGGGTATTAAACCTCCAACTATTATTGTTGAAGCTAGGGAATTAAATGTTGCACTGCAAAATATTCATCTCATGCAGAGGAAAGCGGTAAAGCAGGTCCATGGCACAACCCACTAAGCACTGGGGCTCAGCAGTGAGCCAGCCGGTCCTGCCCTTTTTATGTGAGTCCCCGGGTCACACAAGCGGGAAGTAACCACGAGGGCCTCAGGTGGCTCCTAGTGCTGCCCACACACTGACCCGGGTGACCCGAAGGTGACCGTGTCCCTCCGATAGGGGTCAGGACAGGCCACCCCAAGGAGGTGACATTGGAGCTGAGGCCTGAGGGAAGGCCGGGGTGGGCAGTGGGGAGCAGGGAGGAGGGCCTGGTCATAGGCGGATCCTGGTTGGAGGTGAGGCTGTCTGCCGTGCCGCGAAACGTCAGCGTCGCCGTCGGTCTCTCTCATCAGGCTCTGGCTGTACATTCTGGGGCACAGTGGGAGTTGAGGGGGGATGAGAGCGAATACTGAGAAATGCAGAGGGGCTTGCGTGAGCCTCAGTGTGAGGCTGGCTCTTTCGAGCCGGCCTGGGGCGTTCCGTGGCCAGCATGACCCGGGTGTCTGTGCTGAGTTGTCTGTCCTTAGGGACAGCGGGCTCCCTGGGGCGGGGCGCAGGGCCAGTCTCAGGGGGGCCCTGCCTGGCCTTGGCCCTGGCTTCGGCCTCCTGGGGCTGCTGGAGCCAAACCCACAGGCCGGCGCCTTAAACGAGAGGCCCATACCCTCTCACTGTTCTGCAGGCCCAGAGGCCGAAATCAGGTCGTCTGCAGGCCACGCTCCTGGCGGGAGGCTCCAGGGCAGGGTCCTTCGTCCAGCTCCTGGGGCTTCCTCGGCTTCGGCCGTGCCCCTCAACCTGTCTTCACGTGGCTTCTCCCCGTGCGTTCTGTTCCGTCTCGTCTAAAAGCCCCCACATCCAGGGCCGTCTCATTTCAAGATCCTTCACTTACTTACATCCACAAAGACCTTTGTTTTCCCTAATAAACCCACAGTTTGCGGGTTCTGGGGCTTGGAGCATGGACAGAGCTCGGTCCATCACAGCCCTCAAAACCAGTCCTTTCTCCTAATGCTGGCTCCGTGGCACCGGGCGGTGAGTGGGAGCGAGCCCGTGCCCCTGCTCGTGGCCCCGTGGGGACCTGCCCCCCCCCCGGGTCTCAGGTCCGTGGGCACTGGGGACGCAAGCTCTCCTCCAGCGCTGGCCTGCTGCCTCTTCTCTCCGCAGGCGGACATGGGCATGACGTACGCGGAGCTGTCCGTCTACGGCAGGCTCCGGAAGATCACCAAGGCCGGGCCCTACAGCATGTTCTGCAAACTCGTCACCATGTGGAGAGACGTGTGTTCCCCGTGGCAGGTACGGCGCGTATGGCGCTCGGCAGAGGGGGCCACAGACACAGTGCCGGTGGGGATAGTCTAGCTGCCGGGAGCGAGTCGGTGCGCCCTGGCCTGGAACGGTGGCGCTCGGTCGCCGGCTCCTCCGAGTGGGGCCCCTGCCCGCTGTCCGGCTCGCGGTCGGGCCCATTGGGGCTCACATGGTGGTCCCCACAGGTCCGCCTGGAAGCCTCATGCCATGCGTCTTCCTGTGCGCCCCACTCGGGTCCGCCGACGCGGCATCCTGGGGCGCTGGGGCGGGAGCCCACGCGGGACGGCCCAGCCAGCCGCCCCAGGCGCACATCGGTCCGCTGCTGCCCTGGGGGAGGCAGGCGCGCGGGGCCGGCAGCTGCGCGGGGTGATGTGGGCCTCAGCCCCGCGTGTCCTCGCCCACCAGGTGGCTGATGGAGTGAGGCGCTTTTTCTCCAAGTACGCCGCGAACAGACACAAAATGACCACGCTCACGCCCGCGTACCACGCGGAGAGCTACAGCCCCGACGACAACAGGTTCGACCTGCGGCCGTTTCTGTACCGCGCCGGCTGGCCCTGGCAGTTTCGGTGCATAGAGGATGTGGTAAGTGGGGCGCAGGCGGCTCTTCCCCGCGCCCGGCGTCTATTGGGGAAACACCGGCTCGCTTCCGCCGAGGACCGGAAAGCTTTCTGCTTGCAGCGATGGCATTTACTGTCCTCGTGTCTGCGAAGGGCCAAGTGTGTCCCCTTTGTGCCGTGTTACTCACCGAGCAGCCGTGTGCACGCGGGGCCCGTCCACACCATCCAGGATCCAGACGGGCTCTCGTCTTCTCAAGCTCCCGGCCTTGCCTTTCCTTTGCTAGTTAATAATACAGCGGAGGAAGGATTAGCAAGTTCAGTTTAAAAAGCAAGTCCCGCCTTCCCTTCCCAAGGCCAAGGGCTGGAGCCAGGGCACAGGGCACGTGGGCCCGCCCTTCCTGGCGCAGGTAGTCACCGCCCGTGGGAGGGAAGCCGGCCAGTGGGGGGCCCTCGGTACACTGACCGTGATGAGCTGGGATGCATGCAGTGTTGCGCCGGCGATCACGGCGGGACGGACGGACGCTCCGTCTGTCTGCTGGCCGAGGGGGGCATCTCTGTAGATCACGTGGATCTGGAGGATGGACCCCCAGTCAGACTACGCATCCGGGCCGCGGTTCTCGGGGGAGGGGTCACCCCCAGGGACAGCAGGCTTTGTCTGCAGATGTTCCCGGGGATGGCGTCTGGGGTGGGGTCTGTGTCATGGGCATCCGGTGGGCAGAGTGCGGGGACACTGCTGGCTTCCGAGGGTGCCCAGGACAGCCCCCCTCCAGACGAGGAATCAGTGAGAGGCAGGGCTTGGCTCCCCCACCTGCACTCAGCGATGGGTTCCCCCAAATCAGGAGTGGGGTTCGGAGGCCGTGCAGATGTAGACCTCTCGGAAGACACACGTAGGCAGAGATACAATCTCTGTGGTCTCTGCGTCTAGCAGGGACGGCCGTGATGTGCTGAGGCACGTCCTCCCAGACTCGACCAGCGCACGTGCTCTGCATCCTTCCCGCATCCTTGAGCATCGTGGGGAATGCTTCACGGGCTGCTCATCCAGTCCCGTGACCGCCACCCTCGCTCGGTGCGAACCCGTGTGTTTCGACAGCGTAGACATTCATGTGACTTGTCCGTCAGGTTCTCCAGCTCGAGAGCAGAGGCCGTCAGGACCTGGATGGTGTGGACTGACACCAGCTCCTGCCCGGAGGACCCCTCCCGCGAGGGTCCCGTGTGTGAGGTGGGCCTCACCAGTGACCGTGAGCGGGGCCCAGCCACCCCTGCCTTGAGCAGCATGCCTACATCTCGTTTCGTATGTCACGGGACAGGGATCTGTTCATTCTCGGTCCTTAGAAAAAGGCTCAAATAAAGAGAATGTGATTTCTGGGAGCGGAGTCTGTGTATGTGGTGGGGATGAGGAGCCTCCTCTTTCATCCCCTCCTAAGCCCCCCTCAATTCCTAGGATCCTCTCTCGGGGGCTAAGCCCCAGGGGATTGCAGCCTCCCTGGTGCAGAGTGAAGTTGAGATGGGATTGGCCACACTCACAGTCCCCGCATCCCTGGGGAAGGGGCACAGTCAGTTTGGGGTCTGTGCTGCTCCCCCTGCCCAAAAGCCTTACCCAAGAAAAGAAACTTGTAAGCAAGAAAAGGAATTTATTGGTTAACATGTGGGACAGTGCAGGGCTTGTGACGGCTTCAGGTCTGGCTGGATCCAGGGTGTGCACATGTCCTTAGAACTTGGTTCTCTCCTCCCCCTGCCCTGCTCAGCTCCTCTGTCTCTGCTGGCTCCCTTCATGCTCCACATCAGGGTGCTACGGCCCCAGCCCTGCGAAATCCCCCGTGTAAATCCAGCAGGAAATTAGTGTGTGTATTTTCCTGCTGAGTCATACGCCCATCCCTGAACCAGTTAGCTACAGCACAGGGCCCCCACAGAGGACCAGGAGGTGTTAGAGAAGCATGGAGAGTGGATGGTGGGTCCCCAGACAACACACAGCCTTCCTGTCTGAGGCGACCGTTCCCAGGGGCACTGCCATGGGTTCTGGGCCTGCAAAGCCTGTGGGTAGACCTTTCCCTCACCTTCCCACAGTGACAGCAAAAGGCCCGCTAAATACGAATCAGGCTGCGCCGAAGATATGGGCCCAAGCAGAGGGAGTGACACATCTCTCTCCTTCCCCAAAGGCTGCCCCCATAAGGTGGCGTCCATTACTGGAATCCAGGGCCCCCCGCAGACCCAGGAGCAAAACAACCATTCGTCCCCACAGCCCCGGAGGCCCATTATTTTGTGACCTAAGCCAACCTGAAGACAGCCTTTTACACAGGGAAGCAAATCCATTTACTGCTCATTCCCAAAAAGCCTTGGCCTCAGAGACCCAGAAGCCCATTGCTGCGGTCTGAATGTCTGAGTCCCCCCAAAACCACCCCCAAGGTGATGGCATGAGGAGGTGGGGCCTTGGGGAGGTGACCCCTAAGAGCAGGGTTCCCGGCCTCATGAAAGAGGCCCCAGAGAGCCCCTTGCCAGGGCCTCACCTGAGCACGCCAGCGCCCCGATCTCTAGCTTCCCAGCCCCAGAACCGTGGCTCATTCCTGGTGTTTCCGAGACACCGTCAGCGTGCTTTTCCTAAAGCCAAGAAGCAGTTTACTCTGGAGGAAAATTCAGTTCTCCACCTGCGAGGATCCAGAAATAGAGACCCAACAGTCAAAGCTGCTCTGTGAGCCGACATGGCCCTGGGGACTCCGGGGGCTGTCTCCCTCCTCCGAGGATGGTTGCTGGCAGAGCCGACGGTGCGGACCCACAGACAGCTGACCCTGTTGGCAGCCCCCCAGCTTTGGCCTGGGGGGTGGTGACAGACGAGATCCAGGAGAGGTGAACGTGGGGTCCAGCAGCTGAGGCGGGGACCCTCGTGTCATTTCACCCCCTGAGATGACAGCAAGGGGGACACCCTTAGTGCAGGCCTCATCACCCCACGCTGCCCCGGGCAGGATGGTGCCCTCGCTGACTCCCTGGGGAGGGAGCAGGCATACCACATGACGTCGTCAGGCCCCCCCAGCTACAGGGTAGTGTCCCCCTAGTTATAGGGTATGTCCCCCCAGTTATAGGGTAGAGTGCCTCATTATAGGGTAGTGTCCCCCCAGCTACAGGGTGCTGACCCCCAGTTATAAGATAGTGTCCCCCTTATTACAGGGTAGTATCCTCCCAGTTATAGGGTAGTGTCCCCCCGTTATGGGACGGTGACCCCCAGTAACGGGGTTGTCACCAGAGCTCAGCTAATGAGAAGCCGGCAGCTTCCTGGCAGCCAAAAGTGTGTCTCTGAGGGATCCTGGCTCTCTTCAGACCCGTCACAGACAAGACCCAGCCCGTTTCTTGGAGAAGAGAATGAGGCCTCGTGGCAAACACAGAGCTGGCTCAGAATCTCAGGGACCTCCTTGTGTCCCGGGGACACTCCTGAGCCCCAAGACCCCCTAGTGCCTTTCTCCTCCCCGCCGGACGGTCCTGCAAGCTTCGACAACAAAAGCAATCTGAGGGGCCTCGGAAGATGCAAGACTCATTGCACAAAGGGTCTACTGAAGCAGCCAAACCCGTGACTGGCTTCATGTCGTCCTTCCAGACAGAACTCCGTCAACAAAGATTCATTTCACTGGAATTCTAGACAAAACTAGAATTTTGGAAGACGTTGCATGTTGCATCCAATGGGGTGAACCCCTTAGAAGTCTAGGAAGCAGACTGTAGTAAGACCCTAGAACATGCCAGAAAAATGGGCAAAGCCCAAGAGATACCCCATTTCTTTTTTTTTTTAATTTTATTATGTTAATCACCATACGTTACATCATTAGTTTTAGATGAAGTGTTCCATGATTCATTGTTTGTGCATAACACCCAGTGCTCCATGCAGAACGTGCCCTCCTCAATACCCATCACCGGGCGAACCCAGCCCCCCGCCCACCTCCCCTCTAGAACCCTGTTTGTTTCTCAGGCCCATAGTCTCTCATGGTCCGTCTCTCCCTCCGATTCCCCCCGCCGCAGGACACCCCATTTCCAAGGGACCAGCCTACACCCAGAAGAATTTTAGCAGCATTACTTGTGCAAGACTAAAAACGAGCAGAATCTTAAGACAAAGTTTGAAATCACCGACTCTCCACGGTTGGCAAGTGCGCAGCCCCCTTGACGAGCTTTCCGGAGGGGAATTCGACAACAGGCTGAAAAGACCCAAAGATGGGCATTTCACGCAGGAAGTCTGCTCCAGCAGTTTGTCCTCAGTTTCTATATGAGGGGGGCTGTGACGGGACTTACTCCGCAGGTGCCTGACTGGGTTGGGGGTGCTGCTTCTTGCTGACCGGGAGGCGTGACTTCTGCCAGGAGATCGTCGGGCCCACTCGGGAACTTGCCACCCGGCAGGGGGCTGTCCTCTCTGTTCGGCGGGATGGGTGCCGCTCCCCTGCTCTGCCTCCTGACCCAGGGCTCCCTGGAGACCCCTGTGAGGGGCGCCCTCGGTTTCCACCTCCCAATGAAGAAATAAATGGTGGGGTTCACAGCGCTGTGGATGGAAGACAGGAATCATCATGGTGAAGGAACCCTGAATCCTTGAGGAAGAACTTGGTACTGAATCACTCAGGACAAACTGTGGATTGTCTCTGCCTCTTGGTGCAGACAGAATGAGAGCCTGTGTTCATTTTTTTTTTTTTAGTAGACCCCGTGGGCACTAGAATCTAAACGTCCCACAATCTCATCTCGGGAGAATGATGCACCTCTCATCCAGAAACTTTTTAAGAAGTAAATGAGCTGTCTATGGGCGCCTGGGTGGCTCAGTTGGTTAAGCGACTGCCTTCGGCTCAGGTCATGATCCTGGAGTCCCGGGATCGAGTCCTGCCTCGGGCTCCCTGCTCGGCAGGGAGTCTGCTTCTCCCTCTGACCCTCCTCCCTCTCATGCTCTCTGTCTCTCATTGTCTCTCTCGCAAATAAATAAAATCTTAAAAAAAATAAAATAAAATAAATAAATGAGCTGTCTATTTGAAAACAGTTTTAGGTTTGCAAAAAAAAGTGACAAGACCGTAAAGAGTTCCCATAGCTCCCCTGCCACTTCCCACATTATTAATCTCTTGTTATAATTAATAAGCTGGTACTGATGATTACTTATTACTAACCAAAGTCCATTACTTTATTCAGATTTCCTTAATTTTTCCTCAGTGTCCTTTTCCTGTGCCAGGACCCCCCGTCCATTTAGACATCGTGTCCCCTCAGGCCGCTTTCGGCTACAACAGCTTCTCAGACTGTCCCTGTTCTTGTTGACCCAGACAGTCCCGAGGCGGACAGGTAGTCACGCCGTAGGATGCCCCTCAGTTGGGGTTTGTCTGGTGTGTGTGCGTCACGGTCAGCCTGGGCTGTGGGTTTGGGAGGAGGACCCCAGGGTGAGGCGCCCTCCCCACCGTATCACACCCGGGCCCGTGCTCCCCACCTGACTCGTCCCCGTGACGCTGGCCTTGCTCACCGGGCGGGGTGCGCGTCAGGCCGCCACCACACCGTCACCCTCTTCCCTGCTGTGTATGCTGTGCCGTCAGAAAGGAAGTCACTGAGCAGCCCACACACCGCTCAGAACTCCTCCACGTGGAGATTCGGGTCTTCTCCCCCATTCATTTCTTTATTCCACTATCTGTATCGGGGAACTCGTGAATATTTATACTTGGATCACAACCTTATTCTGTAGTCTGCATTTCGTTGCTCTAATTGTCCCAGCTCTGGTCACCGGGCGTCCTATCGGCTGGCTCCTGGTCACTCCGACAGACCCGTCAGTGTGGATTCCTGGTTTCACGTGTTCTGACTTTCTGGCTCTTGAAGGTGCCCCAGGCTCATCTTGGGTATTTCCTGCTTCGATTCCAGAATCAGACATCCACCCAGGAGCGCTGGTCCCCTTCGCTGGGGAATGGTATCCGCGGCCCCGATCGGGTGCAGATGTCCCTGTTCTGGGGGTGTCATTTCTCTGGGGCCCTCTCTGCAGACAAAGCAGGGAAACTGACAGTGTAGACCAATCCAGCATTTTTTAAATTCACACGAACAGACTTAGTACCCACTTTCCTCTCCTTTCCTTTCATTTTAACCGAGACAAAATCAAACTTCTAGTTTTATAGTAGCTGTCTAAACAGGGAATATAGGGCGCCTGGGTGGCTCAGTCGTTAAGCGTCTGCCTTCGGCTCAGGTCATGATCCCGGGGTCCTGGGATCGAGTCCCACATCGGGCTCCCAGCTCAGCAGGAAGCCTGCTTCTCCCTCTCCCACTCCCGCTGCTTGTGTTCCTGCTCTCGCTATCTCTGTCTCTGTCAAATAAATAAAATCTTTACAAAATAAAAAAATAAAAATAAACAGGGAATATAGTAGCATAATTCACCATATTAAGCCATG